ACACTTCCACCCCGTCAGAGCGCTGCCCCGGGGTGGAAGTGTCCCCCGACCGGGATGAATATTCTGATATTCATCATTAATTGGGCCCAAAAAGTTCTATTGGGACCAGCCCTACTAGTTATTATGACAACTATGAACAATAATGAACAACTAATGATCCTTCCAGCATCAAGTCCTCCTCGTATCTGGACCTCCGTCTGGACAATCCGACAGCCTTGATATCTGACACAGAAGAAGGTTTCACATTTAGTGTCGGATTATCGAGTCACGACTGTGCTTTTATGATTTATGAAACCAGAACGGTCGTACTGCACAGAAGACATCTGTGACTTCCCTCTCCTTTATCGTGGTTGTTGTGTTTTTCATGGAGCTGCAGGACTTTATGAGAAATGAAGCCACAGTGAGGAAAGATGTTACCGGAGCAGAAAACAACCAAACAGAAAAGTGGCGTTCTTTGTCAGTGAGTGATAACAATCAATAAAAGTGAGCACTAGATGTTTCTAAGCGACGTGTTGCTCAGCAGACTCTCAGTCTAAACTCCTGTCTTAGTGTAAATGTGACATAATGAACGTGACGTCTGAATTTTCTTTAAATTTCACAGAGAAACAGCGAAAACAAAAGCCAGACGCTGTTTCTGTCTAATCCACGTAATTAGGTGCGATCACGGGGATGTGAGAATCTTGTATCGCCGCCAACAAGAGCAGAGATATTAAAAGCGGCGCTATATTAACTCCCCTTAATCTGTGCTGTGGTGTTGGGCTCGGCCCGCTGCCCAGTGTGTTGTGGTGCACGTTCATCCTGCTTTAATTCAACACGACAGCCTGAGCGGAGGGAAACTTTTCATCCGCACTAGTTGTTAATCCCCACGTCACGGATTCAGCGCTTTTTCTGGCTCTTTTTGAAGCATCGACTCAGCACAAAAACACAGAAACTTGTTTTTTTTTGGGGGCTTTTCCTACCTCGGCTTTGTTCTGCTTGGTGTCGGCGGCGGCGGCGGCGGCGGCGGCGTCCTGCTGCTGCTGAGCGTCCGGCTGCTTCTCCTCCATGCTGACCAGCTTCAGTTTGAGGTAGGACACCTCGTCCATCAGGTCCAGCTTCTGGGTCTCCAGGGAAGTTCTGCTCATCAGCTCCTGGAACAACACGACATGTTCTCCGTGAGCCTGAAGCTGCCGTTACAGTCGAGCCACAGATGTCAGCGAGGAGGAAGCTCGTTGGCCCAGTGTTGTTCCCACACTGAGAGCCGGCCGACGGGGCCCACGGAGCTAAATATACCCAGACACAGGCCTGGCACGGCTCTATTAATACAACCCTGGGCTCCTTTGGTATGAGAGGGAAGAAGAAAGCATCGAGGACGAGCCCCGAGCTGGACGTGACGTCTGGTTCTGTCAGCTACTTTCAATTCCTCATCCTCATTCCTCTTTTCTAAACTCAAACTTGAGTCACTGGTTCGCCGCTGATGAAGCCTCCGACTCTCTTGGAGCTTTCGTGTCGGGACGAAACAAAGATGGAAAAGTTTGATAAACCGGGTTCAGATGGTGCCGAAAGATTTGAGGTCATTAGATGTAGAGTCAACTGAATTTGGAAAAGTTCCCCCCAGAACCTCCTCAGAACATCTGGTTCTGTATCTGCAGCACCTTTATCTACTGACCAGAGTTCTACCTTCAGACTGTGAATGTTCCAGAGGTCCAGGTCCTTGAAGTCCACAGAGGAAGGTCCAGATTGATCACTTCTTATTTCAGTTTTTCAGACGTTTTATGACGTTTTTCTGTGTTCTAATCACATTTTGTTGGATATTTATTTAACATATTAGCCCTTCTTTTTTTCTTTTCCTTTAAATTCTTTGGATGATTATTTACCTGCATTTTACAGACACTGTTCGTTTATATTTTGGGGAACTTTATTATTTTTTTCCTCACAATTTGTTAGAATTTGTGCTTTTCGTTGGGTTTTTTTTTATTTTAATATTGTAGATCATATTTTAATAATATGTCAGTCTGATGCTTTGGACGGATTTTATGAATATTTTTTGGCATATTTTTAAACATTTTAAAGACACTTTTTCATTTTTTGGGGCACTTTCTTGATATTTTTTTTCTAATGTTTTATTAGATAATGTACCCAATATACATATTTCACACTTTTTAAAATCCAAAATGGCTCAAAAACGATCCAAAATTACAGAAAAGTTGTTCAGAATGACATGAAAACTATCGACGACACTCAATGAATGATAAAAAAATGACCTAAAAATGACCCAAAATGACTGAAAATGTGCAGAATGACAAAGTTTGTCCAAGAAGTTTCAAAAATGATCCACGATTAATCAAAATTTGTCCTTTTTAATGGACTGTTTCCATCATTTCTGAGCCTCAGAACACATCTGGGTTCTGCTAGAACCTGACACCAGATCAGTTCTACATCCATCCAGGAGTCTCAGTCTGAAGACAAAAAAAAAGGTTACATTTTGAACCAATTGGAGTAATTTAGGACAACTTTTGTGTAATTTTGAACAATTATTTGAGTCATTATGAATATTTTTGAGTCATTTTCACCAGTTTTTGAGTAATTCTAGACAATTTTCATGTCTCTTTGACATTTGTGCATCATTTTAGACAAAGTTTGAGGAGTTTGGGACCAATTTTGTGTAAATTAGGACAATTTGTATGTAATTTGACCACATTTTGATGAAGAACACATCTGAGTTCTGCTAGAACCTGACACCAGATCAGTTTCACATCCATCCCAGTGTCACCATCTGAACACTGGATCTAATATTGGTAGGCACTATTTTTCTGTAAATTTTGAATCATTTGAACATTTTTCATGTCATTCTGAATACATTTTTAATTATTTTTTTGACACATTTTAAGTCACGCTGGATAAATTTGGGATTATTTTGGTCAATCGGAGCCATTTTGACCATTTCTGGGGAAGTTTAGAATAGTTTTCTGAATCATTTCTAAGTAATTGTGGACAAATCTAAAGCCATTTTCAAATATATTTTTTGTCATTGTGAGCTGGATTTTGTCAGTTTTACAAATTTTGAAAAATATGGGAAAATTCAAATTTATTTTGAACGTTTTTTCTTGTCATTCTGAACAAATTCTGGACAGATTGAAAGTAGCTTAGGACAATTTTTGAGTAATTCTGGACCATTTCTGAGCAATTTCCTCTGTAAGCAGCTGGTAGCATCAGTATTATGGGATGTGTCATGGTGTGAACAGTTTAATGTCTGTGACATAGAGTCATAGAAACAATCATTGGTACCCTGGATGTGGTTCTGGTTCTGATCATTCACCAGAGGAAACTTTACAAAGTGCATTCTGGGTAAACTTTCCAGGCTCACATGTGTGACGGCGGCTGGTCAGAGCAGCTGTTGACTGTTTTGAGGGACGGGATGTAACTTATTTTAGGAAAAAGGCCAGTTTACAGTGTGAGTCAGTAACCGACTGACTCATTAAGAGGAATGTGAATGTGTATACTCCTATTGTGAAAAACCTTGACGATCTCTGAGGTGGAGTAAAACCAAACTCAACACCTTCCTGTTCCTCCCTCCTGCCTACACAGTTTCAAAACACTTGACTGGAACGAGCACGATGAAAATGACCGCTGGTGCTGGTTTTTCTAAAAGTCAGAGACGTTTCATGTGTGCAAAATAATGCATATGGGGAAAAAATGGTTTCAACTCGTTAAAAAATCCTCTTAAGCTCAATTCTTACTTCGTCTTTATGTTGTCAACAGCCGAATTTCAGACTTTTTGAGTCCAGGTGTTACTGAGATGTTCATGAGCTGGAAAACCTGAAACCACAACATCTTGATACATGGAGGCTTGAATCTAAATGTAGTCTGTCTGCTAATGTGTAGAGTTTTGCAGTGCAGATACTTTAAAATGAGTGTATTGTGTTGCTTCCATTCTGGTCTAACTCAACACTTCCCTGCTGAGTTTTAAACCAGCTGAGGTGGAAGTACCGTCTCCTTAGGGATACCGGATATAAGAGCATTACAACAACTAATCCGGCATGTGATAAAATGATGAATTAGCATCTTTGTGTTTGCTTGAGAGAGGACCAAACGCAATCTAGAAATGTTTTTCAAATGATGAAATGCCACCTTGATTGTATTTTTAATGTGGGGTTCAATATTGAGGTGTGGGTCCACGTTGACTTGTAAACTTTGTACTTGTCAACATGGATTTAATGTCAGAGTTGCAGTTTTGACATATGATACGATATGATGAGCCTTTATTAATTCCACAGTGACGAAATTAGCATTGAATATCAACAAAAAAATATACACAAGTGCGAGTTCATATTGTCCAAATTCTTCTGGATGGAAATAACAATACTGTGCATATCAGTGGTATTACACAGATTCTTCTGAAGAAAAGTGCAGGATCAAAAATAGAGCCCTGAGGAACACCATCATTCATTTTATAGCTTAATTCACAGCTAGTGCTGATATATTAGCCCAAAAATAAGTACGACAGAGTTTTAGTACCAGTGAGCAGGACCGCAGTTTTGTCCCGGTTGAGCTGTAAAATGTCATCTAGTATCCACAACTTTATGTCTAATAAACTGTTAAAAAGTGCATCGGCTGGTTGCTAGGAGACACTTTGACGTAAAGCTGTGTGTCATCAGCGTAACTGATGACGTTTCCAAGTGGCAGCATGTATGAATAAAAAAAGCTCAGGACCAAAAATAGAACCCTGAGGAACACCACCATTCATTTCATAGCTTAATTCACAGCTATGAATGTGCTGATGTTGGCCCAAAAATAAGTACGACAGCGTTTTAGTACCAGTGAGCAGGACCACAGTTTTGTCCCGGTTGAGCTGTAAAATATCATCTACCATCCAGGACTTTGTCTTATAAACTTAAAAAGTGCATTGGGGCGCCGCTATAGCTCACCGGGTTGAGCTGGCGTCCCATGTACAGGGCTACAGTCCCGATATGGAGGTCATGAGTTCGAATCTTGCTCATGACCCTTTCCCACATGTCCTCCCCCACTTTCCTGTCTCTCTCTCACTGCACTGTCAAATAAAGGCACAAAGGCCAAAAAAATTACTTTAAAAAAAAAAAAGTGCATCGGCTGGTTGCTAGGAGACACTTTAACATACAGCTGTGTGTCATCAGCGTAACTGATGACGTTTCCAAGTGGCAGCATGTATGACTAAAAAAAGCTAAGGACCAAAAATAGAGCCCTGAGGAACACCATAATTCATTTCATAGCTTTTAGATGAGACTCCTCAGTGTTTCCTTTCTATCAATGAGAGGATTTGAACCAGAGAAGCCGTTCAGAGTGTCAAGTCTGTCTAAAAAAACACAGCGGTCTACAGTTTTTCATGTGAACCTCAAAGTTCGACCACAGAGTGACACCACGGCACCCGAATGCAACCGTCACATGATAAACAAACTGTGTCAGCAGCACAGACAGACAGACAGACAGTTAAAACCCTCTAATCACTGCAGCTCAGCAGCCTCTCCGGGAAAATCTGCTTAGTTCTGGCAGCTGACTGTCGCTTTGCAATCTAACACCAGTGTCACTTACAGCAGGATAAGCTGCCATGTTTAGAGGTAATTCATCAGGACGCTGCGGTTCAGCTGCCGCGCGTTTGCTTTCCTTTAATTATGTGGAGCAACACGTGACAAATTATCGTCTCCGCGGCGTTTATAAAGAGGCCGCAACCAAAGCTGGCCGAGTTAAATATGGAAGAGTCGGTCAGGGGAACTTAGATCTGGATTTAGAGAGTTTAGCATCTGAAGAGTGACTTTTAAAAATGAAAATAACCGACAGAAGGAGCTACAGAAGTGTTGTTATATTGTTTTTATTCCTGAGGATGCCTTAAAAAAATGCTTCTCTTCAGGTTTATCCTCAAATTGCAGAATGAAAATCAATGAAATGGATGAATTCAAAAGCAAAACAAGGTGACGCCGAGGCAGAAACGTTCAGATAGACGTGTTCAAATCGTCTCTGTATGATGACGATCATGACGCTGTAACCTGCTCTTAGCTTTGTTGTGTGCATGCAGTCTCATGGTGGCTTCTACTGTTTGATAAAAGTTAAAGTTAAAAGTTTAACGATAACTTAGTATCACTGACACTTCACTTTACTTTTGCTCTAAAACATTACT